AATTTTGCAGCTACAGCCCTACGACTTTCACCAGCGAACGCAGCGAGATCCAATGTTTAGTGAATATCTTGGATTTTAAAACTGAGAGCCGGCGGTAAACCGTCGACCTTGGTTTTTGAGTTTGAGTCAGGGCGCGGACAGCTGTGACAGCTGAGCCCTGAGACTCCCAAACGGAGCACAGGGCAGCTACAGAAGGCACCTTTTATCATCACACTGCCGAGCCACTGAGGCATAGGCATCGGAATAAGATGCAGGAACAACGAAAAGGATGCAGCACAACATGTGAGAATGCAAAGGTGTTGGAACAGGTTAGAGAATGGTGTAAGAGCTGGTTGAAGCGCTACCCAAAACGTGTTCCACGGCCATACAATGCCGTTTCACTGCATTGATCAAAGCAACAGCCGATCAGCAGCATATCCTTCCACAGACCGCCCTCCAACGAAGAAACCGTGGAGGCCGACTAGTTCATGTTTACCGCCGGGAACTCGTAGAGTTTCCTCGTGCAATGCGGGCGCGGCAATCTCGCATTCCGCGCGCGCGAGGATGCGGTTTCACGGAGGAGGACTAGAGGAGAAGAAGGAGTGAGGAGGAAGGAGTGGAGGGCGAGAGAGAGGAGGAGGAGGAGCAAGAGGAGGAGCAGGAGGAGCAGAAGGACAGGAAGGAACAGGAAAGGCATCGTCATCTGTTGAAGAAAACAAAAGAGTACCGATAGCTTTCTGGTTCCAACTCTGGAAACGCACCGAATTCGGGCATCTGGATACCTGAGACTAGCGAGTCTGATAAGTTCCGTCCGATTGCTGTGCCAAACAGCTCTGCAGCTCATCTGCAGCTCGAGTTATCTGAAGAAAGTTATTATCGTCTCTCTAGTTGTTTGGACCCAGCTCTGAAATCAGACCGAGTTGGGGCGTCTGATACTCTGGACTAGCGCGTCTATTTCCCTTCGACTGCTGCTACAAACAGCTCTGTAGCTCATCTCCAGCTCCAGTTCAGTCAAGTGAACCATCACCATCTCTGAAACATTAGCAGAGTCCCCATAGTTGTTTCGGACCGTAGCAGACCGAGTTCAGGCATCTATACACTTTAGACTTGCGCGCCCGATGGTATTTCGATTGCTGAACCTAACAGCTATTAGACTAGCGCGCCTGTTGATGGTCTTCCTATTGCTGTGCCGAACAGTTATGTCGCTCTTCTGCAGCTCAAGTTAAGTCCATAAACTCATTATTATCTCCAAAAAAACAGCAGATTACGTATAGTTACGGGCCCAGTTCTGGCAAAACAAAGCTATGCTCTTCAAGATTATCAGCCCAAACGAATGGTTAGAACTGCAAAATCGGTTGAGGCAGGCCGCGGAAGGCATGATCTCATCCCTTTTCGAAATGTGGCCAACTTGGAACCGGCGGCAAGCCGTCAACCAGGTTACCGCCGGGGCCCTCGTAGAGCTCTTTTCTCGCAAGGCGCTGCTCGGTGCACATAAAGAAAGCGTCTCGAGCAAGATCCCAAAAACTCGAAAAATCACGCTTTATGTCGGGATCCTTTCACGGGTGAGTTCAAGCAGGAGGAGGAGGGGGAGGAGAAGTCAGAGGAGCAGCAACGACGGGAAAATGAACGGGTGGCGAAACGACTGGCCGCGATAAATGATGATGAAACCACTTGGCGTGGGGAAGGGGGTGGATATGGCTTGGAGCTCCGTGGGGATAGCCAGTGTGTTGTGCGCTGGCTTAATGGACGATATCGCTGTCACAATGAAGTATATCGCCGCACGATCAAGGGTATGCAGAACCGCCTTCACAGAATGAGTGAGGACCATCATCTTGTCACGGCTGAAGTGGGAAGGGATATGTGGAAATGGGTGTATAGGGAGGGCAACGATGAGGCGGACCATGAGACACATCTTGCACGTGAGGGTAAAGTAATTCCTGATGTTCGTTGGAATCATAACACTCTTTATCATATTAGATCGGGTCATTATATTGTTCGTGCACTTAGAGGAGCTTTCGACGGTGGGCGGTGTGAACGTGGCACTTCGTGTGGCTGGGTTATGGATGCTTATCTTGTTCCCTCTCTTCCTCCTCACCAGCTTCCCCCTGGACTTGTGCAGGGCGGATGGCACCCTGGAGTTGGCCGCAGAGGTTTCATGATCCCTAGCCACTGCACGATCACACAGGCTGAGTTGGCAGCTGCACATTCGCTTCTCAATGGCATTGCCGAGATGTGTATACACGTCCAGCTTGGCCGGTGATTGTTTGTGTACTATATCTGCACAGCTCCGCTGTTGTAAGATACATGCTTAGCCCCACTGTTTCTTTGATGTGTGCATATTCCTGTGCAGCTACGCTGTTGTATCATATCTGCACGGCTACGCTGACTTGTATATCCGCACAGCTCCGCTGTTAGTGCTTAGGTTGCCTGTAGGTAATCCTACCGCTGGCCCTGCCCCCTAAGGGGGCTTGAATCGGGCCCCGCAGACCGCAGACCAGGTTGACGGTTCACCGCCGGAGCCAGTTTCCTAATATTTGAAAGATATTCGACAACTCAATTCGAGAAAAGCAGATTTTTACAAGAAAAATCTCGACAGACCTTTTGCTGACTTTTGGTCGATTGAAAATTTTGTTCTCGAATTTCAACCATTCGTTAGAGCTCTAGTATGTTTCCCCGTGAGATTCGATCTTATTCCCACTCGCCGTCTAATCTCAGATCGATCGGGTAGATATCACTGCCAAAAAGCAGACGGGCGGGATCGGCGATTTCGGGTCATCTTGAGACGCATCGTCGGTTTTCTGCACTTAACTCGACCTGTAGGAGAGCTACAGAGCTGATACTTACAGAACGAGGTTCAGAATCATCAGGCGCGTTCGTATGTTGCATCCAGAGGTCTGAACTCGGTCCTCTGCCCGAGCTAGGTTCGCGAAACTATTCGTATTGTTTGAGTCGTCCTGAGAGGTGCTGTTGGTTTTCTGCACTTAACTCGGGCTGTAGGGGGGCTACAGGGCTGGTAAATGCAGAAAACGATCCAGGGACATCAGGCACATCTGCCTGTCGTATACAGAGGTCTGAAATTGGTCGGTCTGCTACTCGAGGTAGGTCCGCACAACTTTTGTATCGCTCGGGTCATCTCGACAGAAACTGTCCGTTTTCTGTACTGAACTCGAGCTCTAGGGACGCTAGAGAGCTGATGCGCACAGAAACTAGTGCAGAATTGGTAGCGTCCAAAACCCGGAATGCAAAGAGAACACACACCGGAAAGCTTTCCTGGCGAGCCCTCAGACGCTCTCGTGAAGCGCTTCTGGGGCCCTGGGGGGCTCCACTGCAGCGCTTCTGAAGCGCTGCCAGAACGTTTCCACGCGTGCCTGCGCGCGTGCAGGCACGCGTGGACGCTTTCTGGAAGCTCTCCCGGACCCGCTGCCGGGACGGGCGAGGCGCTGCGAGAATCCTGGACTGGCGAAGATGGGCTGCTGGCGGGCACCACCACCGTCCGGCTTCTAATCTAAAATCCTCTAGCTCTCAGAGCTCGTAGAGCTCTTCGGCACTAGAGGAATTCCGGCGCGGGGTGGAGCTAGTTGGTCGACCCGAGCAGAAAGGACAATGTGGTAATTTTTGCGAGATATGTGACCATTTATTTTGAAGAAGCAGATTTTCCGCACCTGTAAACGACTATAAGGGCCTCTGCGTCTTAATATGAGCTCCGTAGGCGCATATTTACTATCAAAACACTTGGAGCAACCAACTTCATCTCGACATGAAAAAAATGAATGTTCAATTTTTCGAGAAATGCTTCCAGAAGCTCTCTCTTTCGACTCTGATCACTTTACGCGTGGGGGGAGCTCTACGAGGTTCCCGGCGGCGACCAGGTTGCTCGGCTCAAGAACGTCTCGGCTCAAGAACGTCTCTGCCTGAGTAACCTCCAGACGTTCTAGCGGGCCACTGCCTCGGGGAGTGAGACTGGACGAAGGGCCGCGAGGCCTGGGCGATCCTGGGATCCCCCGAGGCCTTCTGTCTGCATACATTACCTCTCTGTGTATTGTACGCTGAATTTAATTGGACTGTTGATTGTGATTGCCTCGCGTGGTCATTTTGATTGTTGATTGTGATTGCCTCGAGTGGTCATTCAGTGCATCCTTATTCAATGCATAGTCATTCAGTTTGATCGTTGCCTTTGATTATTGCTTGTGATTCGGTAGTGTGCCTTCTGTCCATAGTCATGGTGCATGTTCGGAGTTGGCAGGCACGGATCGCTCGTCGTGCACGCGCAGTGGAACAGAAAGTTGTTGCTCCCACGCGGTATCCCATCTCGTTGCAAAGCTTGGTACCCATGTCCCACACGGCAGATGTGCTGCTGGAGTACTTCGCCACCCCCGTGGAGCCCTTGCCAGTTCTTGCCGAAGTCCCTGGAGACACATTGCAGCCAGCATATGTCTCTATGGTTCTTTCGAGAACAGGTGCGGAAGTGGGTGCTTCTACGGATTCTTCAATAGATTTCCCAACAGCTTCTTCAATGGATCTTTCTCCCACAGGTGCGGAAGTGGACACTGTCACGGACTCCCCAACCGCATTGGCCTTTTCTACCCCCCATTTGCCGCTAAAGGAGAGAAAACATGTTGACATGAGAACTCAGACGGATGTGCACAGTCATGTTGACACCAGCACTCAGACGGACAGTGTTTGCACCTACCCGCCACTTTCCGAGGCCAGCATTTCTCTTACTGATGCTGTGGACCTTCATTGTGAAGTCGGCTGTCAGACAGAGAGTGTTTTTGGGATGGAGGGAGGAGCTTCAGGAACGGTTCTTGGGAAAGTGACTGAGGAGGCGCGGGAGGAGTTGGAGGTGCTTTCGAGAGCGGAGTTTTCTTCGACACCGAACGTGCAGGCAGATTCTGATGTCACGCTCAATGAGATCGAATCCTGGTTCTGATGCGTCTATCCATGTCGCTTCTCCGGAGTCGCGCCAGAGGACTCGAGGGAGAGATCGTGACAAGGTCAAGGGGACATCGACGTGCTCTCAGGCCACCATTGCCCATGTCAAAGCGTGGATTGACGCTGTTGTCAGCATCGACGAGTTGAATGCGATCCAGTATTTAGAGAACGGAATGGATTTGTTTGATAAGCTGGTGACAGAACGTGGGTTCCCTACAAAGAGGGCCCAAACAGATTATGTTCGGAAACTGTATGAGATGCTCCAGAATGTGCAAGCGACGCTGGAGGATCCTCTAGGATTCTTCGAGGTGCACAGGTACTTGACAGGACAAATGAACCGCGCCGAGACTGCCAAGTTTCTTGAGGTTTCCAAGTGCAGCGATTACCGAATACTATTCTTCGGACGCCCGAGGAGTTTCGACAAGTGAAACTCTACGAGTTTCGACGTGCGTGGTTCCTCCGAGGCCTCTTGTCTGCATACATTACCTCTCTGTGTATTGTACGCTGAATTGTATTGGATTGTTGATTGTGATTGCCTCGCGTGGTGTTTTTGATTGTTGATTGTGATTGCCTCGTGTGGTCATTCAGTGCATCCTAATTCAGTGCATAGTCTTTCAGTTTGTTCGTTGCCTTTGTTTATTGCTTGTGATTCGGTAGTGTTGCCTTTCGTTCCATAGTCATGGTGCATATGCATTTGTTTGTGCTCTAATAATTCAGTGTGTGCATGTTCAGTTCTTGGCCAGGTCTCCTGGCTCTCATGTCGTAGTAATAGTTTCGCCTCATCAGTGTTCTCACTGTTGTAGGGTTGTCTGTAGTATTAGTTTCGCCTCATCAGTGTTCTCACTGTTGCAGTGCCCACAGGTCGTTTGATTCGCCTGAGACTTGTTGGACCTGGCCTCAGTGGCCAAGATGGTCCCAGCAAAGACGCAAAAAAAAAAGAGACCAGGTTGCTGCTGTCCCTCCTCGGGGAGCTCAGCGGCGGCCTGGCCCGTCGGGGGCCATCTCGAGCCGCATTGTGTGGACAGGCTTTCTGTGCACACACGTATCGTACTCCACTGTACATCTCGTGTGCGGGCCGTCCCATATCTTCGGGTACTTCGTCGGCTGCGACGACCTCCTCTCCGTGGGCCTACAGACGATAGGTGCCAGGTTCTCTGTTTTGTCAAGTGAGACAGCTCCTATTGGAGCAGGTGCATAGGCCGCTTGCTCTGATTGTACTCGTTGCACTTGTTATCTTGTGCTTCCAGGCCGCTTGCTTTGTACTTGTTGCATTGTCTGCTTGTACTTCCAGGCCGCTTGCGTTTGTATTTGCTGCATTTGTTATCTTGTACGAGTTGCTCTCAGCACGTATCCAGTTTTGACTCTAGTTGCAGTTCGAGTTTCTTCAGTACTTTGGCAGTTTTGTGACATCGGAGTATCTTGATATTGAGGTCTTTGGGCATCCGATTTCATATTTCGCTTCGAGTGAAGTTCAGAATTCATTGTACTTGATATTGAGGTCTTTGATATTGAGGTCATACGTCGCCTCGAGTGAAGTTCAGAACTCATTGCACTTGATTTCCACATACTTCGAGTTAGAACTATTGTGATTTGTCGTTGCGTTGCCTTTATTCATGCCTGTGTGTGTTGTCGTGCATGCACGTGTGTTGAATAAGAGCTTCGCCTGATCTTCACTTGTTCGGATAAGAGCCCGCATTCGCTATAAGTAGTGGTGGGTGTCTTGGCTCACTCTGTATGTTGCGCGTTGAATTCGTTATCTAGTCCACATTTCGACGTTGTGTTTCACGTGCATGGTCTTCCAGTGGTGCTGAGACGGTAATCGCTATATGTGGTTACTGCATGGTCTCGCATTGCTTTGAAGCGCACTCGCTATTTTAGTTCTCTTAGTTTCGTGTTTGTCTCAGTGGTGTTGAGACGGTAATCGCTGTATAAACCAGTGGTTACTGTATGGTCTCTCACTGCTTCTAGCTTTGCTTCCATATCTATGGCCTGCATTGCTTCACTCATTATATTGTTAGTTGTTTTTTCGTGTACTTGCAGTCTTCTGCATTTCTGTACAGCTTCGCTGTTTGATGCATCGCTGCTTTAATCTTTGCAGCTTCGCTGTTTAGGTTCTCTGTGTCCTGGCCTGCTCTCCAGGGAGCTCGAATCGGCCAACGCAGACTCTCTGACCAGGTTGACGGTTTACCGCCGGCGCCAGTCAGGCGCGTTCGTCTGTTGCATCCAGAGGTCTGAACTCGGTCTGCTACTCGAGGTAGGTCCGCGAACCATTCATAATCATCACGCCCGCTCGTCTGTTGCATCCAGGGGTCTGAACTTGGTTAGCCTACTCAGGCTATGAGCGCTCGGGCTGGAAAACTATTCATTCTCTGCTGATTCTTTGGACATAATATATTCTCAGGAAGCTCTGCGAGTCCCCCGGCGATAAGAAAGGTTGACGGTTTACCGCCGGCGCCCAGTTGGTCGACCCGACCAGAAAAGAAGATGTGATGACCTTCGGTCGGTTCTGCGAAAATCTGAAAGATATTTTACAATCCATGTCGAGAAACCAAGCGTCCACGCGTGCGTGCACGCTTGCAGGCACGCGTGGACGTTCCTGGCAGCGCTTCAGAAGCGCTGCAGGGCCCCCCCCAGAGCCCTAGAAGCGCTTCACGAGAGCGTCCGAGGACTCGCCAGGAAAGCTTTCTCTTTGCTCTCCTTGTTTTGGACGCTCTGGCTCAAGGCGTCTGGATCAAGGCGTCTGGATCCCACAGGCGTCTAGCGTGTGTGGGGGGCGCGCTGCCGCGGGACGGCGGCGCGGCAGCCATCGCTGCCTTCTTCGTCTTCTTCGGGTTCAGCGAGATCGAGGTCAGCTAGGCCGCTGCATTTGTTATTGTTACTGCGTGTGCTAGGCCGCCTGCACTTGTTATTGTTATTGCTACTGCTGCAATTGTCTCTTTTCCTCTCTTGGAACGACGGAGTGCTGGGGATCCGACTTCAGTCACGCGGACTGGGACTATCTTGCAAGACAGGTAGGGACACCTCGAGGTGACAGGAGAGCTGTTATTTGTGTGCCATCGCTCACACCAACAGTACCGTTTGTGCAGGGTGAAGGTTACGATTTCAATATCTTGCGTAACCACTTCGCGCAGGGTGAAGGTTACGATTTCAATATCTTACGCAGCCACAAAAGGAATATGGCTGCAGCAGGATCTTCTGTTTCAGGTGCTGCGCCAGCGATGCCAGCAGGTTATTCAGTTTCAGGTGCTCCAGGCTTGCATGCGATGGGCCAGGACATGACAATTGATGATGGGGGTGGGGCGTTTGCTAGAGCTGTCCGTGCTCGTAATGTCAAAGGAGGAGGGAAAGGAGAAGGAGGAGGTACGGGACAAACATTGGGTGCGAATGAGGTTGCCCAGGAAGCTGGCCTTGACATTGAACAGATGTTTCGATCCATCATGACGGGACAACAGACTATGACGGCAGACATGCAATCGTTCAGGAACTCTATTCGTACGGAAATGGACGGTCTGAAAACATCTCTGGACTCCAGGGTATCGAAAACAGAATCGGCGATCCAGGACCTCACCAATGAAGTTCAGAAGCTCAAGCAGGGGGACGGGCTGTCGGTAGCAAGTGGATCCACGAAGGCGGGTACGGACAGACACGATCCTGCTTGAAATCCACGTTATGTTGAGTTCAAGGGATGGGTTTCAAGGGAGGGATGGAGGAACCGTGAGATACGTCAGCGGGAGGCTCTTTCACAGGAGGCACTGACGACGGCGATGAATGGCCTTATTGACTCTAAACAAATTGATGCTACACAGAGGGTGGCACTGGACTTGGATCGGACGGTTCAGGAGAATACTGGTAGATATTGGCCGTACACAAGGGGTAGGATCTATTTCAAGCCAGGTACATCCTCTGAGATCCTATGGGAAGCGAAACGTGTGTGGGAGAATGACTACAGGCGGGGACTCACTTCATTGCCTCCCAATGTGCGATTTCAAGTTGAATGCCAGCCATGGAAGATAGAACATGTTCGGGCGGTAGGAAGGTTTCAAGCACTATTTTCTGATATCAAGGGAAATGCGACGGCTATTCTTCGAGGTGAGACGGGTCCGCCAATGACATATATGTGGTATATGCCGAATGCTGATGATACTACACAAAAGACATTGATTGCAGAATGGGGACCGACAAAAGGATGGAACCTCTATGGTGACAATTTGACACACATTGAGCCCGATATTAACCAGGTGCAGTTTCTTCAGACACTACGGTGCCCGAATCATTGACGGGGCGGTATGGCTGCGACAGAGACCGTTGTCGCAACCTGGAATGTGCAGAAAATATCCGACGGTCAAGTACCCAACCTGGTCGCTGCATGTGAAGCCAGGTCAATTCAAATGGTGTGTCTGCAAGAGTGTGAGCATACCAGTGCAAATACTTTTAACAGATGTGGATGGGAGATTCACTATAGCTCCTGCTCCAAGGCGGCGGTTGCATGGTGCAGGGATTGGGCACCACATGTGATTGCACGACGGAGTGGGGTACGATTTGCGTGTGTCGAATTCAGGGGTGCTCTAGTTACATCAGTGTATCTACCATGCGTGATGCGTGATGTTGACCACTTGGGGGAATACTTAGATGTACTTACTAAGTGCAGTGTTACTATGTTTCAAACTACACAGGCTGGAGTCATACCATGGGTGGGGATGGATGCTCAGACGGAACTTGAACCAGATATGCTGGGAATGACGGGAGGAGGTCTTATGCAGGTGGACGGGAGGAGGGAGGAGGCGAACTACCATGCAGAGAGGAGGGACATGCTTATGAGGTTCATGAGTACTTGGGGGATCTGTGCGGCGAACACATATGGAGATCGACGTATCACACATATACCGTACTGTTCCACACATGTGCAGCGTGTGCTTGACTATATTCTCATCCCTACACGTTGGTGCGCGGATGAGGCAAGAGCTCACCAGGAAATGAGATGCCAGGTCCAGTTTGTGGAACCCATCAAAGCTACGCCAGGTATACGTGCAAAAGCCAGTGCCTATAGTGATCACGCTCTGGTCTGGGTAAATCTCAAGACTACGGAGATCAGGCGCCCAGCTTTGCCACCCCGCCCTGTGTCCATGGTTGGCTGGCAGCCGACGGATGACACGGCGAGGAACATGTTTCGTGTGTTTGCGGATGTGTCGATTGAGGGGCTTTCATCGGACACGGTAGGGACGGACCTGCAGCAGGTCGGACGGGTACTCTTGGAGACGGCAAAGCTTGTGGACCACACTAAGGGGCGCCCCAACTGCAAACCTATTCAGAGGCCCAGGGAGCTCATAGAGGTGGAGTCTGCCATCAGGCGTGGGGCCCTTGGGAATACTCGTAAACAACTGCTGCGTAGGAGGAAGACCCTTAGGAGACAGCATAGGAGGAACCAACTCCTGCAGGACCACAAGGGATCCAGTAAGACCTCACGGTGTATCCTCAAGGAGCCTGACAATCCAAGCTACGGGTATACAAGGAGCGTGCTGACAATGGACAGGACTAGGTGGAGTACGGAGATCACTAGGTAT